TTTATAAACATTTTAGATAAAAAAATTTAGATAAGGAGAAATAATGGTTTGAGTTTAGGAAATTTTTTTTTTTTTTTCATGATCTAAGGAGGAGTTTAGAGCCCCTTGACACAATTTCTCATGTTGTATCAAACAAACTTAGAATTCGGTTGAGCATATTTATAATTCAAACGATGCATGGGTCTGTGATTAAATACCATTTATTATTCTGTACATATTGTTAGTAAGTTTGATGTTTTAGTGACTGCTATTTAGTGATATTATAATGTTAAGGACCACCTGCTTCTTGAACTATAAGTCTGATGTTTCATATGACATTGGAACGTGTGATTTTTATCCAACATTTATTGAGCCATAAGCCATGAATCATGATCATCAAATTAGACTTTGCAACTAGCAATTATACTACAAGTCAAACCACAATGCAATTGATAATTTCATTTTGAGAAAAGCAAATGATACTTATTGTCTTTATAATATTTTTATTTTAATGAACAAAACAATAGATTGATCAAAAAACATATTTACAAACAGATCTAGCAAAGCATAAAGAGTCAAAAGTAACTGAGATATCACACAAAAATTTAAAAGTTAACAAGTTGTTCACAAAGAAGTGAGATGAGTCAAACTTTCTCATAATAATGAAATACAACTAATTTAACTCATCTTGAAAGTAGCGGGAGTCAAGAAGAAGCAGCCGCATTTCATTGCGTTCTATGAGGTATCTTGTAATTGGACTCTTTATAAACGAATCCTTATCGTCTTATTAGACAATATTTTGGTGGATTTTTACTCAAGGAACTTTTCCACCTTAACAAGTAATATTTTGTTGAACATTCATGGAAGAATTCCTCCTGCCTTATTAAGAAAATTTTTTCTAGACCTTCGCCGAAGGATCTTTGCCTTATCCGACAATATTTTGTTAGACTTTTATTAAAGGATCTTTTCCTCCTTGTGAGGCAATATTTTGTTGTACCTTCGGCGAAAGATCCTTGCGGCCTTATTAGACAATATTGTTGGATCCTTACAAATGGATCCTTGTCGCCTTATCAGACAATATTTTGTTGAACCTTTACTGAAGGATCTTTATTGCCTTATTAGAAAATATTGTTGGATCCTTACAAAGGGATCATTGTCATCTTATCTGATTGTATATTGATGGACATTTAGCAGGGGTCCAATTGCTGCATCGATAGGCTACTCATTTAATGCCAAACAATGAATCGTGTCCACCTTAGTAAGCGACCTGACATAATCCAAGAAAAGGAGAACGCCTCAGGCTATGCCTAACTACTATGAATAATAAAAAAGCCACAACACTAAGAATTTCATAAATATATGCCCAAAAGGCTTGAACATTTTCTTTAAAGAAAAACTACAAATGCGTGATTACTAATGAGCCTACAAAGGGTAAAAATACAAATAATAAGCATAATAAAAAGACAAGATTGAGTTCGCTCAGAGAAATGTTTGAGGGACCCACACTCTAAGCTTTGTCTAAGCAACTCTCTTTTAGAACTCTCGCTTAAGTGACTCAGCTTTGCAAATATTTCATGAGGGACTCGCCTTTACAAGTCTTGCCCATGGGATCAACTTTAAACATCTTGCAAGAGGAAATCGTATTTTCGAATCTCTCCCATAAAAAGATTATCGGCTATCTTATTTAATCAACTTCACATTCTCAGATCTTGTGTTTGAGAGACTGTGAACTAGGTTGCGCTTGTTTATATGTGGGTGAACATCTACGGGCCATATTAGACGTATGCGAACAATCAATGGCCCAAGATGATCATGCATTTCCAAGAAAAAAGTCATCACGCCATTACATCAAATGCTACATGAGCTTCCCCAAGCAACGCTTGAGGGACTCACACCAAGCAACACTTGAGGGACTTGCCTCAAACGACGCTTAAGGAACTCACACCAAGCCATGCTTTAGACTCTGTGTGTGCGTGTGTGTGTTTCTCTCAAAAACACATTTATTCTTTCCCATGAACATAAAACACTTCAACCTTCCCAAGCCTCGTATTTGAGGGGGTGTGAACTAGGATAACATCAATTGGGCCTTGAAGGGAACAACTAGTACCTCAGTCGATCCCAAGAAATTATGATGAATGGGCCAATTGAGAATCAAGCAGGTATGACCCATCGTCCTTATGGGGGCAGGTCTCCTCACCCAATTATTCTTCATACGAGTATGAATAGAAGAAACATGTCAGGCCACATTCATTCTAAAACACAGGAATCACTATTCTCACATATGGAAATTGTCTTTATACTATAATCTTATTCTAATGAACGAGTTAGAATCAGTCGTCTTATCGTACTTGGTAGTAGAATAGATTCTCCATCAAACATGGTACTCCATACCTCGTCCGGTACTTGATGACTAAGATAATCATCAAACATGACATTCATATCTCTATGTGTCTTAGCAAGAGGAGCAGAGACAACATGGTGTCTGAGACTAGTCTCAGTGTAGCTGAAGTGCCGCATGAGGCGCTCATGAAGATGAGGAAATGTGAGACGTGAACCACAAGCCAACCATCCAGAGTATAACATTATGTCTTCAAATGACCGCGTCTCACGCCGATCGACATAGATGTTAAAATGCATATCCTCAGCAACCAATTGGTGAAGATACACTCTAAGCGGCTTTATCTTCTGGTTCCCTCTGAACGGGGAAAATGCGAAAATACGAGACATATCCTCAGTATAAGTCGGTACATACGACTAGTTAGACATGCACGGAAGTGCTGAAGGATACAAGTTTAAAACATGTTGGAACACGCAAATCATCAATAAGGGTGTTGCAAAAATATAATGAAAATGACACACAAACATTAAAAAACCAATAAATATAAGCGTTAGTAGTGTGATGCTACCTATGACCTGCTTCGTCTTCCTCCTACAACCCTCTGATAAATTTGAGTACAATTATACCAAACAAGCACCCATCAGTTGTACTCATGAATGCGCTCGAAGTCCTCAAGGTACCGTAGGTAGACGACATCCACGTGAGTGACACTCTTGTCCAAATAAATAATTGTGCCAACCAAATATAGCGGGTATGCTCTCATAGCATACGCTCTATGGAGTCCCACATACTCGTCATCACTTCTATCATGCTCATCTCTAAAGAGACCATATGTATATACCATTTTCAGGAACTCAAACCTAGCATGAGCCCCTCAGGATTTTTTAAACTCCTTCATGGCATCTTCTAGGTTAACTCTCAGATAGTCAACCATCAACTCGAGTGGCTCATCTTTGCTAATCCCCCCATGATCTATAAGTTTCCCCCTAATCGGATGATGCAACAAGCATAACACTTTGTCGGGTGTGATAAACATCTCACCAAGTAGTAGATGAATTTATGATGTCTCAATGTTCCATCTCTCCACGAATGCATTAAGCATTCAGTGGTTGATCGTAGCATAACAAGTCTTACACAAGTCTTTCATCTTAGATAGGGACAAAGCATCCTGAAACCATTCACCATTAGATTGAGGTAAGCCAGTAACCTTCTGTCCATGCTTGATAAACTTCAACGAATCACAGTCCTACGAAAAAATAAATCTATGTCAGAAACATGCATGTAGTATAATAATAAGCATAACTTAAAAAGAATGAATATAACTAATTTTACATCATTGTCTCAGATATGTCTGGCAGTATGTTCCGGATACAGAGGCTACAATAACAACTCTACAAGGCCTCCTCCAAATGTCTTGGGTGGCATTGACTCATTAGTCCCAACAACCTGAGATGGCCTTAGCTCAGCAGCCTCATTAGCCGAAGGTGGTACTGGCTCATCAGCCTGAGGTCCCTCTAGATCCTAGGGTGACACTGGATCCTCAGGTACTACCTGTGACTCGAGTACCTCTGACACCTAAATAGGTGATACATGTCGCCTACGGAAAGAAGGAGGCAATGATGTGTCAGTAGGTGACACCCATCACCTACGGGAAAAAGATGGAGAAGCATGAGCCCTAGAAGTCGATGCCTCCGCATGAACTGGGTTAGAGTGAACAGGAGCCTCTGAAACAGGACTCTTCTTCCTCTGCACTGATGCATGTTGCAAAATCCTCCTATGCCTCAGTTTGTCGTCTCTATCAGCCATACTGTCTGTAAGTAAAACAGGCAAGTGTTAGACGTTGAAAAATAAAAATTAAAAAAACGAAAAACATAAAGATAAATTACGGAGATGCATCTCCAAATTCTGGGAATCCAAACGTTGAAAAATTCCATAGATACATCTCTGAAATTTCCTGCAACTTTTCAGGTTCGTCCATGGCGGTAATGCAGACCACCAAACCGCCAAAAGCAATGCTTTGATCGTTATCTTTAACCATCAAACATGTTTTACAGTATGTATAAACTATCATTCATGTAAAAACTATCTATTTCTTAACCTAATCATCAATTTCTACTCATTTATACAAAAACTCAAAAAAATTACAAAAACTAAAAACTTTCAAATTGAGAGTTTACTTCAGTATTGAATGATGTCTTTGATGTACTTGATGTTGATGGAAGAAGCTTTGAACTTGGTTGATTGATTTTGAGAGAATGTGAGTTGAGAGAGTTTGAGAAAAATTTTAGAGTATTTTTTTAGAAATGAGGAAAGAGAAGGACTCTGACACGTTTTCAAACCAATATTGTCTGGAGATGCATTTGCGTAATATTTACGAAGATACATTTCTAAAATTTTTTAACTTTAAGTCAAATTTCTATTTACTGAAGATACGTCTGGAGATATATCTCTAAAAACTAAAAATAATTTTTTATGTTTCCATGATACTCTAGTAATACATAGAGTACATTAAAAAAAATTCCCATATTTTAATGATGTCCAAAACTTATTTTCCATCTTATAAATAGGACTCCAACTTCTTATTTTCCATCTTATAAATAGGACTACAACTTCTTTAGTGGCCCAAACTCAACCAGTTAAAGTATTGTTCCTTTGAACCTTATTATTGTTGGTCCCAGTTATGATGAGTTACACTCCTAGTTTCCTCTCGTTACTCCCTCTGTCCTTTTGGCCTCTTTCCCTCGTCATGTTTTTTCTCTTTATGATAATTAAATCTCTAAGATATCACTTGATGAATACGAAGCCAAAACTACCAAAATTGCCCCCAGGTCCCAAACCATGGCCTATAGTTGGCAGTCTTCCTGAAATGCTTGCAAGCAAATCTCCAACTGAGTGGATACACAAAACTATGGAAGAATTCAACACTGATATAGCATGTATTCGCCTAGGAAATGTCCATGTTATCCTTGTCAATTGTCCCACAATTGCTCGTGAATTCTTCAAAAAACATGATGCTGATTTTATATCAAGACCAAAAACCATGGCCACTGATATCATCACCAATGGCTACTTGACTTCAGCCCTTGTACCCTCCGGCGAACAATGGAAAAAGATGAAGAAAATTGTTGCAAAGGATTTGCTCTCTCCATTCAGACATCAATGGCTTCAACAAAAAAGAAACGAAGAAGCCGACAATCTTATGTTTCATGTGTTCAACAAATGCAACAACAGTGAACTTGTGAATGTTAGGATTGCAGCACAACATTATTGTGGTAATGTTTTTAGAAAAATATTTTTCAGTACAAGATACTTTGGAAATGGTGAGAAAAATGGAGGGCCTGGTGTTGAAGAAATAGAACATGTTGATGCTGCTTTCGAATTGCTTAACCATATTTATGCTTTCTCTGCATCTGATTATATCCCATGGTTGAGATTGTTTGATTTTGATGGACATAAGACCAAGGTAAAAAATGCAATGAAGATAGTAAACAAATATCATGATTCTCTCATTGAAGAGCGAATCAAACAATGGAAAGATGGATCAAAGAATGTTGAAGAAGATTTGCTAGATGTTTTGATTTCTTTAAAAGATGTCAATAATAATCCGTTATTGACAACGAAGGAAATCAAAGCTCAAACTATTGTAAGACATCATTTACTTTCTTTTATGCGATGTTAGGATGACAAACCAGCAATTTAAATTAAACTAATATTATATGTTAAATTTCTATGCAGGAATTGATGATGGCAATGATAGACAATCCATCAAACGCGGTTGAATGTACATTGGCTGAAATGTTAAATCAACGCGATTTATTAAAAAAAGCTATAGAAGAATTGGACAATATAGTTGGAAAAGATAGGTTGGTCCAGGAATCAGACATTCCTAAACTCAAATTCTTGAATGCTTGTGCAAGAGAAGCTTTTCGCCTCTATCCCGTATCTGCTTTCAATCCTCCCCATCTTTCGACGAAAGATACAATAGTTGAAAATTTCTTCATACCAAAGGGTAGCCATGTATTGCTTGGAAGAACTGGTCTTGGAAGAAATTCAAAAGTTTGGACCGATCCTTACAAATTTCAACCAGAGCGTCATCTCAAAAATGATGGACATGATATATCTTTGACAGAGCCGAGTTTAAAGTTCATATCTTTTAGTACAGGAAGACGTGGTTGTCCTGGTGTCAAGCTTGGCACTACAATGACTATCTTTTTGTTAGCTAGGTTGCTCCATGGGTTCACTTGGAGTTCACATCCCAATTTATCAAAAATCAATCTTGATGAGCCACTGACGCTTGTAGCAAAGCCACGACTAAAAATAGATTTGTATAATTTTTGAAGTGAAAATGAGAAGCTACGGAATTTGAATCAAATACACATGTTTTGCTTTATTTTACAGTTTTAGAATTGTGTTATGTTATTATGCTATTTGTAATGAAATATTTTGATTAGTTTATATGGAATCAAAACCAATGGAATATATTGAGTCTTTTTTGCAGCGATTTTAGTTATCAACATGGTAAAACCTTTGTTTATTATTTATTTTTTTAGTTTTACAAAATATTGATTTTAATCTCTATTTTCAATATTACAAATAACATTTTTATGACTAAGTTTTCATCTCGGAATGTTAAAAGTTGAGAGTATATTTTCTGATAGTGTCATGCTAACAACCTTTTACCCGGTTATCTATAAAACCAAGAAAAAATATCTATAAGAAGCACTATTGTATTTTTAGTATAATCTATTACCAGGTCTTTTGAAAAAACCGAGGGAATATAAATATTAGGGACGCTTCGAATCCAGGTTACTACATTTTATGTTTTTTTCAATGGTTTAATTAGTATTTCTCACTTTTGCGCCTTTCCAAATTTCATTTTTTTTTTGTTAAATTTTTCTCAAACTCATTAGTAAAACACAAATTTTTTGTTATCAATAAAAAAGATTACACAATAATACAACTGAAGAGGAAAGGAAAAATTTCATTGATAATCAGATAAGCATGACAACAAATAACAAAAAAACAGAACAACAGATAGTTATTCAACATATTCAAACTTCTGGCTCAACTCAACTTTAAAGTTTAATCTTGCTCTTTTTACCCTTTTAACTATCTCAAAATGAGAGAAAAGTTCAGAAAGAACTCTTTCATATGGTATGAGGAAAGTTATTTCCTTGTAAGAGGTCACAACCATTTCCATTAAGAAGTTAAAGGTAGTCTGATCAGGAAGATTAATTTTGACATTGTGGATAAAGAAGTACAAAAGATGCTTGTCATCTGAAGTAGGCGTTTTAAATTGTTTCTCTCTTGGACGGAGATTTGACACTAGAAGTTGATGTCAAACTTTTGCAATTGAGATGAGAGTAGCAGGACTGGTGAGGTTATTGTAGTTCGCATAAATTAGGAGAAAGTTGTTTGAGAAGACACCGTTGGATCCATATTATTCAACATAACTACCTTTCTCTTCACACTTTATTATCTAAGAAATAAATGATGGAGTAATGGTGATCGGAAAGCCATATACATTGTATTGTATTGAGTTAGCATCCTCACTAGATTGTCTAACAGAGACATATTTAACCAAAACTCTGTTACAAGATTAGTGTATATGGATCCATGAAGCATGTCAAAGTAACCTTTCAACTTATATTTGAAAATAGTTTTCATCAGATCAAAATCTTGGTCTTTCAACTCTTCAAAATCAATAAACTTTTCATTGATAATGAACAAAAGATTTTCATCTTAGTCAAAGGTTTTTGTAGACATTTTTTGAATAAAAAAAGAGTTTTAAACTTAATTGAAGACACAAAGAGATAGAAATGAAATGAGGCCTAAATAGTGTATAAATAAATTGGAAAAGAGGAAGTAAAATAATCAAAGAAGCTCAAACGTCTCCTTGAAAATCCAAAAGATACATTATGTTTTTAATAGGGATGACCATTACTATTCTAGTGATATGATTCCAAGGCACGATGATCATTACTATTTTAGTGATATGATTCCAAGGCCTCGATTTTTTTTCATACAACCGAGGGTAAAACCAGGAAACAACAATCCATGAACCTTTCTTTTTTATTATATTTTTTATTTGTAAAAAAAATCAAAGGTTATTTACCTCAGTTTTTCTATTAAAATGAGGGTTAAAGTATTTTACCTAAATTAAACATAAAAAAATCATTAGTGATTTTATTGATCAAATATATGGCGTTCATTTCATGAGATATCAACGCTCAATACAATACCATTAATGATCCGCGTGAAACATAAAAAACTTCCATTATAAAAGCATATTTCTGAATATGCAGAAGCATGTGAAGCATCATTAATCGCTTGAACCATATTTACATCTACCTCCTTGGTTTAAAAGATCATTTGCTATGAAAAGACCGCTAAGATGGATGCAAGAGCGAAAAATTATTTGGGTTTAAAGTTTGTGTTCTTAACTATTTATTTGAGAAAAAATTATTTATTTATCTAACCTTTTTTTATCAACCCTTTTTAAATTTGTTTTATATCAGAAACAAATCCATGCAAGATATATCCATTGAGAATATAGTCGCACCCAACATTTGATCTTTCCCAAATCAAAGATTCGAAGTAAAGGTGTTCAAATCCAAACTGATCCAAATAAAAACCACAAACTGATCTGAGAAAATCGAAAATTGCATAAAACCTAAAATTATTGGATGTACTTGAATGTTATTTTGTAAAAACCATTCGATTCGGATCAGATTTCAGAATGATTTGTCAAAACTGATCCAAACCAAATCGAACCGCATACATTTTATACTTATTTATTTTTTTATTAGTATGGTATGTTGTGTTAATTCATTATTAGATGATACTTATATTTTTTTAAATACGATTTAGTAGTTAGATTTAATTTATTTATTTTTATTATTTCATTTTTTTCAACCAGAGATCATTATTATTTTGTAATATTAACATTTAATATTATATATGTTATATATTATATCAAACTTAATATTTATGAGTACTTTTATAATATTAATAAAAAAATATAATTTGTAGTTTGGATTGGATCGGATCAGATTGTTTGTAACCAATCATCCAAAATCAAACCAAATCACGAGTAAATTTATCTTTGAAGCAGGTGATATTTGGCTTCAAAACCGATCCAAACTGCACCGCGAACACCCGTAATTCAAAGATCTAGCATATGATCTTCATGGACTAATTGATTTTTATTTTTATATTCTGTATAAATAATGTAATATTTTGGGTAAACATTGTAGTTTGTAAGCAAATTATTTTATTAATATTATGTGTAAATAATGTAACTAGCTTTATTTTTAAAAAACAATCTATCTTATCCCTTGGTTAATATATAAACTCTGAGGTATGAGGTGTTTTTTTTGTAAAAAAAAATAAAAATGTAGATGTTGGAGTTCGAACACATGATCATATAACTTTACCCCTCGGTTTTTTATTAACCGAGATGTTAAGTGACATCTTTTCATGTCACCCTTCATTACGCCGCCTCGATAGTCGAGGTTACATCTCTCTCACATGGGACGTTATAAGCGTTATTTGTAGTAGTGTTTTTAAACAAAAGCGAGCATAAATTATTTTAAAACAGAATAGAATGGATTTTTTGAAACAAAACAGATCATGAACTTAGCCTAAACACAACAAAGTTAAAAGCATATACAAATGATTAACAAACTAAGGCAAAAATTCAAAGTTCAAAATCTTGAACAAACATCCCAAAGTTTTTATCTATGAATGATATATGGTTGTTAAACACATAATTTAATTGACATATGAAGCATTTAGGATAACACAACAACGACAATATTAAACCTTCAATAATAACAACATAAATCATTCAATCAATAAATATATATTACTAAGTCATATAAAATAATTACTTGTTAATTTTTTTCACATCCCTACTTGATGATCATAACAAAATACATGCACGTTGAAGGCATGAATGTTGTACCCCAAAATTTGACCAACTGTTTCTAGCATTTTGGCTTATGTTTCGTTTCATTTTGCATTTGCATCTGCATACCGCATATTATGCATTTTTGCAGTCGGATTGATTTTATCGGGATTACAGCCAATTTTCTCGCATTTCAGGCGATTCAAACCAGTTCGAATACGGAGGTTTATTGTGGAATTTATGCTTCTCCCGGCGATTCAATCTATGTTGTTGTTTTTGACGATATTTCGGTGTCCGCATTTTTACCGGTTATTCCGTTGCGTTCTCGTATTTTTATTCGCCGATTTAACTGATTTTCATTGTTTTTTTCTTATGGAATTATTTTCTATTTTCCAGGTTTTATTTTCCATTTTTAGCATAGAAATTAAGGTTTAGTGTTTTTAAATAGGTTTTAGATTTAATTTCTATTTTTCTAGAAATAGTATTATAGTTTTAATAGATTTTAATAGTTTTTTTTTTATTTCTAGAGTTTATTAGAATATTGTTTTTTAGAATATCTTTTAGGTTTTAATAGATTTTAAATAATATTCTTTGGATTTAATTGTCTTTTTAGAATATTTTAGGATTTTTTTTAGTTCTTTAGATTTGTTAGAATTCATTAATATATGATTTAATTAGGATATTATTTTGTCATCATTTAATAACTAGTCTTAGTTTAGTTAGGATTCAGACTTTGATTAGGTTTAATTAGCTCACTTTAGGTAATTGATCTTTAGTTAGTTTAATTCTCAGCCTTTAATTAGTATTAATTAGGTATAGCTTGTATTAGTTTTCGTTTTAGCTTTATTAATAGTTTAATTTGTAGTTTAATGGCATAATCAACTTTTAATCAGCTTTAATCAGTAATTCAGTCCAGCTAATCCAAACTTCGCAAGCCACTTGTCACTAATCAGGCCCAGTCATTGCAGGTCCATGACACTTGTCAGGCTATAAAGCCTGTTCTTTCTCTCATCATCATGAGGATGACACGTTTTCCCCCAGCTGTCGCCACCTCACGCGTCCCATGCAAACCCTAAACGCCCTCGTCGGCGAAATCAAGCGCCACCGCCCGCCGCCGAAAATCTCACCGGAAAACTCAACCCCTCACCGGAAACTTCATTATCTCGCCGAAATGTTCATCATGTTCATAATCTTCACCAAGTTTTTCCAATTTTTTTCACACGAACGTTCATCATCTCCATTCAATTTTTTTCCAAATCTTCATTTGTGTTCATCGTGTTCATAACCGTTTTTTTCCAGATCTTCATTTGTGTTCATCGTGTTCATAACCTTTTTTTTCCAGATCTTGATGTGTTCATCCATGTTCTTCAACCTTCATCAAGATTGTTCCAGAACCACATTCATAATCTTTATGATTTTTTCCATAAAT